CAGCCATCATTGTTGTTTGGTGGGCCCGGGCTGGGGATTCGAACCTGCCACCTTAGGTGTATGTGGCTGGTGCCTTAGCCGCTTGAGCCACAGGCACCAAGCCAAAGTTGGCAGTTTGAAACCCTGCCCAGGCCAGCTAAAAAACAATGACAACTGTAACAGAAAATAGCTGGGCATTGTGGTGGGTGTCTGTAGTCCCAGCTACGTGAGAGGCTGAGGCAAAAGAATTGCTTAAGCCCAAGAGTTTGAGGTTGCTGTGAGCTGTGATGCCACAGCACTCTACTAAGGGCAACATAGTGGGACTCTGTCTCAAAAAAAAAAAGAAAAGAAAAGAAATTATAATAGTAATAATAACAGCTATAATTGATTGAGCACTTACCATGTATTAACATAAGACCAACACTATATTGGGCTCAGCCCCTGTAGTTCAGCAGGTGGGGCGCCAGCCACATGCCCTGGAGCTGGCAGGTTCAATCCAGCCTGGGCCTGACAAACAAGGCCTGACAAACAAGGACAACTACAACCAAAAAATAGCTGGGCCTTATGGTGATTACCTGAGGTCCCAGCTACTCAGGAGGCTGATGAAAGATAATCACTTAAGCCTAAGAGTTTGAGGTTGCTGTGAGCTGTGACAGCATAGCACTCTACCAAGCATGACAAAGTGAGACTCTATGGAAAGAAAGGAAAGAAAGAAAGAAAATATCAGCTCGGTGCCCGTAGCTCAGTGATTAGGGCCGGCCACATACACTGGGGCTGGTTGGGTCGAACCAGCCTAGGCCTGATAAAACAACAATGACAACTACCACCACAACAAAAATAGCTGGGCGTTGTCGCGGGCGCCTGTAGTCCCAGCTACTTGGGAGGCTGAAGCAAGAGAATCGCTTAAACCCAAGAGTTGAAGATTGCTGTGAGCTGTTGACCTCTACCAAGGTCAGCAAAGTGAGACTCTGTCTCAAAAAAGAAGAAAATGTCTCCTCTTTACTTTCAGTTTGGTGTTTTGGTAAGTGGTTCTGGTTTGAACTGAATTATTTTCTTGAAAATAACAGTTTGTGATGTTTCATCCCATCTCCACCCTAGCGTTTGGTCAAGAATACAAAAGGAGACCTGATACTATGTTTCGAAATGTTTCAATGTCATAAATGAAAATAATTTAAATGAATCAAAATTTCATTAAATTTTAACGTTTAAGTCATAAAATGCTTTTATGAAAATGAAAAGGTCGCTAACGCGACTCTCAGTAGCTGTGCAGTGCCACACAAGGTCTGCAGGAGCATCTGGCCAAGGCCAACCTTAGGGTGGTGGGACCGCAACTGCGTGGGAGTCCCGCAGTTCCCCCCAAGACAGGCTGCGGTCTGTGGTCAGGCGAGAGAGGATCGTGGGGTGCTGGGCTGGGGGCTCAGGGAGCTGGGGATGTACGAAGGGGAGGGGTCGGCGAAGGGAGCGGGCCCTTTCCCTCCTGGGATCCTCCAGGGCCCCTGTCCTCCAGTCTAAGGGGTCCTCAAACTTTTTTTTTTTGAGACAGAGCCTCAAGCTGTCCCCCTGGGTAGAGTGCCATGGCATCACAGCCCACAGCAACCTCCAACTCCTGGGCTCAAGCGACTCTCCGCCTCCCAAGTAGCTGGGACTACAGGCGCCCGCCACAACGCCTGGCTATTTTTTTTGTTGTTGTTGTTGCAGCCATCATTGTTGTTTGGCGGGCCCGGGCTGGATCCGAACCCGCCACCTTAGGTGTATGTGGGTATGTGGCTGGCGCGTTAGCCACTTGAACTACAGGCGCCGAGCCCTCAAACTTTTTTAAAAGGGGGTCAGTTCACTATTCCTCAGACTGTTGGAAGGCCGGACTGCGGGCCTTGGGACTAGTCGGCTGCTAAGCAGGACAGACAGCGGCGGCAAAAACACCCGGCGGGCCCGGTAAACGTCCTAGGCGGGCTGCAGGTTTCCCGCCGGCCGTAGTTCGAGGACGCCTGCAATGAAGTCCAGTTTTCGCAGGGGGGGCGATGGGCAGGATGAGAACAGAGCACGCCCCACCGCGCTGCTCTCGCGAGATCGCCTGCTCTCACGACTCCGACCTTAGGGGCGGGGCGCTCCCTGAGTGGCTAGAGGAGAGGGTGGCTCCGGGGCGGGGCGAGCCGTCCGCTAGCGCCATGGCCGCCCTGCGAGCTCTTCTGCCCCTCGGCCGCCGCCAGCTGCTGCGTGGCCCTGTGGTGCGGTGCTTCGCGTCGGGTGAGTGCGGGGCTGAAGGTGGGCGGCCCTAGCGTGTCCCCGGCACCCTCCTTCTGAAGCTGGCACAGCTCCCGATCCCTGACCCTGGCCGGGATCCCGGGACCCTCCGGACCTCCTTCTGCCAGGAGGTTCTGGGGTTGGGAGGAGGACCCCGGTGTCTCCTGGGGTAGCTGGTACCTCTGGTTAGGTTTCAGGCCCAGTGCTAAGATCTTTGGCCCGCTGGCCTGGGCGCTGCCGCCCCGCCCCCCGCCCCGAGGTTACTAGTTTTAGGGGGAGCAGGAGTAGCATGGGCCAGGGCCTTACGTGCGGGTGCGTCTTGTCTTGTGGCGCCTCCTGCCCAGGCCAATGTCTCTCTCTGCTCTGTCCTTCACACTGTCCATCTTATCTCTTCCCCTCTTGGCTCACCTGGGTCCGAACACACCTGCAGCCTTCACTTATGCCAGCGTCTGCAGGAGTGTAGCCTTGCTTTGTAGCTAAGGATGAGGCCTTCGTCCCCTTCTTCTTTCCCCCCACGTACACAGTGGACTGCCCAGTGTGTAGTCTCATGTCCAAGTTCTGGGTATCCCTTCTGCCCCTTGCTGCACGCTTCATGTGCACTACTCCCCAGCAGAACCACGAGCAGTGCTTGGACATTCTCCTTTGTCATGTCAGCGAACCTCCTTCCTCTCTGAGTCCACTGATTCCACCAGTCTCCAGTCTGAGTGAGCCACCCCTGCCAGCCATGGCAATCACCCAAGAACATGCTTGCCCTTTGCATCTGTCTGCCTCCCTTCACCTTGTCCACCTTGCAAGGCTGGAGCTAATTCCCCTTGCCTCACTGGCATTTGTTGGAAAAGGACATTTCCCTGTACCTTGTTTTGGTAGAATCCTGGACGTCTTTAGTGCCTTATCCTGGGAGGAGCTGACCAAAGCTCATTAGGAGAAGGAAAGCAGCTGTGGGCTGTGTTCTGCACTGGGGATTATTCCATAACTTCAGACAACACTAAAGTGTGAAAGCAGAGGGTGGTGCCAAGGCCACTGTGTGGCACAGAGCTGCACTCTGGAGCCTCCTCCTATGCTGGGCTTCTTGGGACCACTTTGTGTCCACTACAGGGCACAAACCTTCCCACTTCCCAGGTGGATTCCTTGTGAGTGGATATCCCTTTCTGCCTTCTTGCCCTAGGTGCTAACTTTGAGTACATCATCACAGAAAAAAGGGGGAAGAACAACACCGTGGGGTTGATCCAGCTGAACCGCCCAAAAGCACTCAATGCTCTTTGCAACGGCCTGATTGAAGAGCTCAACCAGGCACTGGTGGCCTTTGAGGATGACCCAGCTGTGGGGGCCATTGTCCTCACTGGTGGAGATAAGGCATTTGCAGGTGTGGTGGCAGCAATGGCGGCCCTGTCCGCGGGGTGGGGGACACCTGTGCACCTCTGTGATGTCAGAAACCAGGGATTTATTTAAGGGACAGTGCAAACTGAAGCTGTATGTGCCAAACGTCTGTGTGAGCTTTACCAGAGGGATTCATGCCCTTGACAGTCAAGCTTTGTGTGTGTCAAGTGACTGATGAATAAGTCCGGTTCTCTGGGCCTACCTTGCACCTACCCTGTGGCTCTCTGTGTCACCTCTACTGTAACATATAGCCTGGTGTCCACATGGCCAGGCCTAACATCGCCCGTGCTGGGGTCAGGAGCACAGAACTGATGGGCTCTCTGCCAACTGGAACCTCATGTTTCCTCCTAGCTGGAGCTGACATCAAGGAAATGCAGAACCGGACATTCCAGGACTGTTACTCTGGCAAGTTCTTGAGCCACTGGGACGAGCTCACCCGTGTCAGGAAGCCAGTCATTGCTGCTGTCAATGGCTATGCGGTGAGTGCTGATGTCCAGGGTCTCCACAGAATGCTCAAAGAAGTGCACTGGTGCCTGTAAAGCCTATGGAGATCTTTGCAGAGAGGAAATGTGTCTGCATCTGTCTTTTTGGTGACATTCAGCCACTGTCCAGCACAGCTATTCAGAGTGGAGGTGTTGGCTTTGGCTGTTTTGTACTGTTTTAATGCTATTCTGGTCTGAGCAATGTAATGAACTAACTTATTTTCTATGGTGAAGAGCTCTGTCCTTTGCAATTGATCTCTGTGGTCATGAGGAGTGTCTGGAAGTTGCGGGGTGATTATTTCATGACACTCTCTTGCATGTGAGCCAGGGCTCAGCCAGTAGAGCCACACCTCTGTGGACGTGTCTTCTGTGGCTGTTAGAGCCATAACAGCAGAGTGGAGCAGTCACAGCAGAAACCATAGGAGCCTCAAAGATGAAAGAACTAACTCTCTGGCACTTTGCGAAATAAGTTAGCCAGCTCCCTGTGAACAGCACCACCCACATGTATGTATTGTGTCATGACAGCTAACCAACTTTGCACCACTGTAGTAATCGTTGCCTCAGCCTGGATGTTGTCATTTTAATGGAAAATTTAAAATGACTTTCTGACTGGGTTCCCCAGTAAGATTGCCCTCCTAGTGCTGAATGTGTTTTGTAGCTGGGTGGAGGCTGTGAGCTTGCCATGATGTGTGACATCATCTATGCCGGTGAGAAGGCCCAGTTTGGACAGCCGGAAATCCTCTTAGGAACCATCCCAGGTAAGGAGTGATGCTGTTTCTAGTATAGACACTTCAGGTAATCCCTCAAAATTTGCCTTTGTCTTAGGGGCCACATGCCACCTTAGGGTCCATGGCTGGCACCTGGCCTGAGGCCCTGGTGGACTGCCCATGTCTGGTCATTGCCCCCTCCACATAGAAGTAGGAAAAAGCCCTAGGAGCCCCAGGACCATATCCTAATCCTGCAGTTATGACCGGTTCCCACGTCACAAGTGTCCAGAGAGACCACTCACATTGTCTTCTGACCACATGGCTCCCACTCTCGCTCTGTGTATATGGTAGATCACCTAGGTCACGAGCTTGGGAGGGAGAGTAAGGTAACCCTAGGCTGGTGCTGACAGCACTGGCCAGTGTGCTTCAGACGCCATCCACTCTCATGTCCCTGGCTACGAAGGTCCCATGGCCTCACCAGGTCTGGAAGAGCAGGGGGTCAGACCTGTCATCACCCAAGGTTCTACCTGGCAGACCTGGAGGAGGAGGTCTGGTATCAGTGGATGCTTGGGGCCCAGGCAAGCCTGAGAAATAGCAGCCGAGCTGCAGTCAGGGAACCCCGGAAGCGGCTGGACTGTATACAAAAGAGCCCAGAGAGGGGCCCACAGAGCCACACACCTTGGGGGTTGGGGGGACACCCTGTAGTACCATGTGACTAGCCCCTCTGTCCTGCAGGAGCGGGTGGCACTCAGAGGCTGACTCGCGCCGTCGGGAAGTCCCTGGCAATGGAGATGGTCCTCACCGGTGACCGGATCTCAGCCCAGGAGGCCAAGCAAGCAGGTGTGGGTCAGGGTGGCCACAAGAGCCAGGTGGGGACTCTGGGCTGTTTCCTCATTGTCCCTATGGGTAACCACACGAGTTTGGAAACCCAGAAAACCCAGTGGCTGGGCATGACTGCATTTTGTTTCTGTATTTTGAAATGTATGAAACTAACCCTATGCATAGATTCCCCTAGCAGGTTGGGCTTTCCATGCCTTTCAGTGAGTACAATCCCCACATCTGACCATCTCTGCCAGCCAGTGCTGTGGACAGCCTGGCCTGCCCATTTGAGCACAGTAATACGCTGCTGTGGGCACTGAGCCTCCCGTAGGGGCACCTTTCCGACAGAAGCCAACCCTTTGTCGTGTTATGAGAGACTTGGGTTCCCCCAAAGGGTCACCAGGACCCAAAAAGAAACAGAACTGGTGCTGTTTTGATTGTTACTCTCTACCTTTTTTGTGTTTCAGGTCTTGTAAGCAAGATTTTTCCTGTGGAGACGCTGGTGGAAGAAGCCATCCAGTGTGCAGAAAAAATTGCCAGCAATTCTAAAGTTATAGCAGCAATGGCCAAAGAGTCAGTGAATGCAGGTAGGGGCGAATCAGTGAATGGCCAGGACACAGGGAGGAGGGAGAGTCCTTGTGGCAGCTGGCAGGCTCTGCTTGTTGCACCCTCAGCAGAAGCAGCAGGATTCTCAGGGTTTCAATTTTAGCTGTTTGTCAAGTTCTTTCTTGTCACCAACTCATAAGTTTTCCTAAAGTGTTCTTGAGTCTACTTTGGACCAGGGCCCAAGAACTACCAGGCCCAGGAGGGTAAGCGAGGCCCAGGAGGGCACGGGATGAGGGTAGCAGCAGGCCCTAAAGAAAATCCTGAAGTCAAACCATGGCCCCACTCCTGGGAGAGCTGGGGATACTTCCCTGGCCTGGGCTGCAAGCTCAGCCCATGAGCTTTCTCAGCAGCCTGCAGGCCCACCAGAGACACCCCTAAGGGCTCAGGCCACACTGTCTGTGCTCAGCCTGGATTCCCTTACCTCTCTGTGTGCCAGGGAAATGGCTCTGACCTTCCTTGTCTCAGAACTGCCTGAGTTTTAATGTAACATTCTCAGCATTTAGAAGAGACAGCCCAGCCCAGCGTGTGTAACCTCAGTGACACGGCCTCTGAGCCCGTCTATCTCAGTGGTGCAGCCATCCTTTTGAGCTGCACTGTCAGCCTTAGTCTAAAGAGCTGATTTTGCAGGGAAGCAGGCGTCTGGCAGTACCCTCACTGAGGCACGTGCTATTGCGCTGTTAGGAGAGGAAGAAGTTCTGCGTTCCCACCTCTCACATCTCAGTTCTTAACTCCAGGGCTTTCTTTTTCAGCTTTTGAAATGACTTTGACAGAAGGGAATAAGCTAGAGAAGAAACTCTTTTATTCAACCTTTGCCACGGTGAGTAAACAGTGTTCGGCTGGAGACTCAGGCAGGTTCCAGTCACACAGCTCCTGGGGTTTGTCTTTGAAATTTCATCATTAAATAGCATCTCCCTTTGGTCAGAACTGTTCACTTCCCCTCCAGCTGGGTCAGATCTATCATAGGGTCTTGATTATAGCAAAAACTTTAGTGTTTGGCACTTGAGAAGTGTGAAACGCTACAGACTGTTTTCTTCTACAGAAGGTCTGTGTGCTGGGCCTATAGGCAGCAGGCATCTCCGTGGCCTGAATCACAGTTCAGACAGTGGTGCCTATTGTCTCCACTGCCTCAGAACCTGAAGCAGGAGGATCTCATGAGCCCAGCAATTTGAGTCCAGCCCAGGGGTAGCATAGCAAGCCCCTGTCTTTTTTTAAAATTTACTTATAAATGCAATTTATTTGACTCTTAATTTTTTTAGATAGTTCCAATTATTTGGAATGTGGTTAAAATGTCTTATAATACTATAATCTGAAGCCTTAAAGCAATATTTTCTAAGATTTCTGCTAGTAATTTTTAGGAAATCAATCTTTTTTTTTTTTTTTTTTTTTT